CAACACAAACATACAGAGCTATGTCCTACAAAAATACACTGAATATGCTCACAAATGTTTGTACACAACAGTAAACTTTACTTCATAATTAAGAGGACATAACAAATGTGAACCGAACATGGGTAAGTGTTGTCTGCTGTGGCTGAGGTGTTTTGTAGCGGAGGGTTACTCTTCCCATTTGAAGGCCCTACATATATCTTAAAAATTGTTTGGCAGGTATGACCCATCACGGCGTCTTTAATTGACAGTTTGTTTGAGCCTGAAACATCGTTTTCACACACAGGAACATCAGGAGGTTGGACACTGGTGTAAGAGGCACATGTAGGCATGATACTTGTCAGATAAAGTTAACTTGACCAGTAATTGGTCCATATTTAGTTAAACATCACTGCACCCATGCTACCCTACAGCAAACTAGGCTACAACAACACAGCAAAAGCATCTAGCAACATCGAAGCTATGTGTAGTTTATTCTGTAAATCAGAGGTTGGGGAAAAATTGACATCAAAATCCAAATTTTTACAAAGTCAGTGGGTTTGTTTGTTCACACTGTTTTGTACCACAGATAAAATATCTTTAAAGCAGTAAAGATGTCAAATTTATTTAATCGCTATTCGCTTTTAAGTATCTCAAAATGAAAAGTGATCAACCAGCTAAACAGATAGATTTGGGACAACATACGAGTGATTTCATTTGCAGGAATGTTACAGTGACAGCAAAAACAATGATCTGTGTGCAAGTAACATGATGGACTTTAGTTATGTGTTTCTCTCCATCTCGGCTGGATAAAAATCATGCATGTCCTTAAAGTAAAACATGTGCACTAATGCCCAGAAACAGGTCATTTTTTAGAGTTGTCTCACTTCCCTGATCAAAGTTCCACCTTCTCTGCTATTACCTTATTTATAGTAAAACTCCTCTACCCTATTGGCTCTATTGTTGAATAATTACTATCTTTTGTTTATAGACTGCACTGACAATGGTTAGCTTAATCAAGCTAGTTATGTTTGCTTATTTAAGGTTCATCAGCATGTGTGCCCGTATTAGGTTAATTTATGTTCCACATCTGTAGATTCACCAACATAGACATCTGGAAGTGAAGACATGTGGATACTACCACATTCTGATTAAAAGCTCTATGCACGTGTACAGGTGTTCTCAACCAATCACTTTTTTTTGTGTCCATGAAAGCAGTCAAGTTAGAATCAGGTTGATTTTAGTCTGGATCAGAAATATTGCATGTGTAAACATAGCTAGAGTCTGGACTGAAGATATTTCATGTGCTACATTGGCAAAATATTGTCCAACTATTGGATTTGGTTCCCATTCGTCCGGCTAACGTCCCACTGCTTCTCTCCCTCAATACGTCTTGGATATGTCCCACCCTCTCTAACCACATTTATGCTTTCAAGATGACCGGACAAAAATCGCCATGACTTTGTATGAAGTTTCTCTCTTTCCTTCTTCCAAGCCCATAAGCTTTCTTCCCACATCCTCCTGGACTGAGTGCATGGTGAGTGTATAACAGGATCTTGGAAGAGATTGCTCCACTAACCAATTTTCCTGAACCCTGTGGTAGTATTCCAAAAAGCCAGATATGACTTTATTCAATTCATCCACAAACGATAAAGCAATTTGGCCCCGACCACTCTCCACTGTGTTACACATGGGCTCCAACACACATACACTCAAGTATACAACACAGGGACACACATACACACCCGCGCCGACTAACAATGTACTGTAAATGCAGTTAATCCAGACAGTTCTGCAGTAAGCATCCTCTGGAGAAGGCTCTTATTCAGCTCAGTTTTCCAGGAAGGTTTGAGCAACACTTACAGCAGGCCTGTGCGATACATCTAAAACATTGTATCATATTCTTCTACTTTTTAATAGCTCCACATTTTACAGCATTAAATGTTGCCAATAAAAAGACATTTTATTTAAAGTGCATGATCTTGGACCGGGGTATGTGATATATCAGGCCTATTAACTCTGGGTTAGTGCGTTTCCTCGTCAGAGGAGAAAACTTCCTTATGCTAGAGGTTTACACATTACTGACTTCTCTTGTTGCGTCTTTTGGTGATGAGACATTTAAAGGACAATCCAGAGAATTTGAAGTTAATAGCATGATCTGGGAAAGTGCTTTCTAACATGTAAATCTGGAGCTCTTTGTACACGGAGAGTACACAATGCTGTTATGAAGCTCTGCTTTTGTGCTTTGCATTGAACCCTGCAACACAGTAATACAGGTGACCCACTGTGTGGTTTTACAGCACTGTGGGAGCATTAAAGGCACAACATGTAAACAAACAGCGGGAATTTAACACACACAAACACACACACATGCACACACGCATGCACTCACACACACTGGGAGTTGTCCCATCCTGCTGGCTCTGATATTCACAGCTGTTTTGACTTTATCACGGCGAAAAAAAAACAGTCTGGCACAGACCTAAACTGACAGTCTGCTGGTAAAGTCCTGCACAGAGCTGCTCCTACACGCTTCACAGGCTGAGACATGACAATGACAGTGTTTGAGCAAAAACAACAACAAAAACATCTCCAATATCTCCACCTAAAGGCACCTAAAGGCAATATTCAGACTGGCCCTCTTTAATCTGCCCTCAGGCCTGCTGCTGGGCATCTACTAATGAGGAGGCCGCCATTGACCACATCCTTTGCCTATTGATTCTGATTGGTGACAAGCCCTAAAAGGATTCTGCAGCTCTAAAAATCAAAGATCAGTGAATGAAACGTGGCGTAGTTTCAGGATGAGGGATGGTGAGCGGGGTGGCAGTATATTGTTGTTTGGAAATGTTTGAAGATGAAGGAAAAAGACATGTATTCATCTAAGATGGCTTATTTGAAATTGATAAAATATTATCATGAAATTAGGACTTCTCACATATTTTGAGATATAGCTCCAATTTGTACTCCAGACATTCCAGTTAACATGTGTTTTTACATTATTTAGAGCTGGAGCTGATGGATATTAATAACCAAGATCATTTTAAAGAACAGAAAATGTGGGACAGTATTAATTAAAATGGACGCAACCACACACTTTTAGTGAAAAAACAACAAAATGATGACCCTCCAACTTTAAAACAAAGAAATACACACACTCCTCTCTCCAAATCATTAGCACACTTGACAGAGAGCAGATATTGTAGTTACCAAACAAGTTAAAGTGAAGGTAACACCTCGGACCACTGGGACTGAGACTGAACATCTCACACCTCTTCTTTACCAGGCCTGCGACAAGACGACAGGCTTTCTCCATTTACACCCATTGATTCTGTCATTGACATGTGTTTGTGGCTTGTTTGGCTAAAAGTCGAACTTTAGGACACATCAAACCATTCAATTCGTGTTTTCAGCCTCTGAGATCGAAAACTGTCCTGACTTGTCGCAGAGACAGAGATAATGGGACGAGTCGGGACATGAAGAGATCGAGGCTAAATAGCTTGCTTTGTAAGTTTTTAAAAGTCTGTGACTATATCCTCTCTACATCCCAGGAGTGAGTTCAGTCTTATTTAGTTATTTGTCCCTTTTTCTTTTTCTCCCCTTCCTACTTCCCTTCCTCCCGCCTTTCACTTTTCCTGCCTCAACCTAACTCTGTCCCTTACTAGATTTGAACCCCATTTCACCCAAAGCCAGCGACCACTTTTCCACTGGCTTGTCTTGTGTACTAACTCTTTAAAGTAGTTTAATTCAGTATTTGTTGATGATTATCCAAAAACACAGCTATGATAACACAGATAAGCACTACACATCCACCTCACATATAAAGTGCCAAGCCAGAGTTTGAACCACAAACCACTTCCCTTGATGACATTAGCTCTAAAAGCCACCCCGAAGGCCTGTCTTGCAGTTGTTGCCTTTTTAGGTAGTTAAATCAAACCATTTCCTGTAGGGCTGGGAATCACTAGTGGCCCCATGATACGATATTATCATGATACTTGGGCCACAATATGATATTATCACGATACTTGGGCCACGTTATGATATTATCATGATACTTGGGCCACAATACGATATTATTGCGATTTTTCATATTTTGCAATACAGTGAGTATTGCGATACAATATATTGTGTTTCATACAATTTTTTCAACTGTTAAGCTAATTTAGCATTTGTCTGTCCTTTATGTTTGTCTTATTTACGCTGTATTTTATTTTTATGTAGCACATCTTGCAAACCTTATATATATTTGTTGTACTAACTTTCTCCTGCTCTATGGTGTCACCTTTGCCAACCGCACTGGACAGTTACAGTCATAGATTTGACTTCATATTAGCAATTCGTTGAAAAATCCATACTTGTTAAATGAGACAATACGATATATCACCAGAAAAAATATCATGATACTATGCTGTATCGATTTTTTTTCCAACCACTAATTTCCTGATGATTGTCCAAGATTGCATATATTATTCTTGGAAAAGTCCCAGGTCATATTTCATTCCTGCCTTACATGGAGAGTTTATGTCAAGGGGTTACACACTGAACCGTGTCACTTTTAGGTGGCAGCCTCAACCACCAAAAAAACGTTGAAAGTCAGAACTTAGAATAACTTTTCATTAAATTTCAAACCCTGTCAAATTCTTATTTTTAAGGGGCCAGTCCCTCTTTTAGGTCGCAGGCAGTCACTCCCACTTTTCCCTGCACTATCACCCTTATGCTGATGACTATCTGCAAACCTAAGCATGTTTGCTTTACACACGAGAGAAAACATCTTCAGTGTTCTCACTGTCTTTTAGAGAAAACAAAAACTGAACTTTTGTTGATGGAGGGAAATCTCTGTCTTGCAGACTTCTACCAAAAAGACTTTCACAATGTAATTCTTGTAACTGGTGCACAATTATAGCGTGGGCACTATCTGCTGAAATGATGACTATTTTATTTTATCTGTATAAATCATCTTGTAAATTTAATTTGTATATACTTAGCTTGATTTTTCTCAACTTCTCTAATAACACTTGTGTTTGAAGGAGGTGGAGTTGTTTTTGGTGGTGGGGATCTCAGGCGTGACTCTGTAAAGTGGAATCATCTTTTCTTTGAAAGGACAGATAGTTAGGACTCCTCTCTTAGAGTGATCGTTAAGGATAACCACTAACACCACAGCCTGAGAAGAGACAATTACCTGCAATCACAATGGCCGCCAGTGGAGTGGCATTTTATGCAAGTGTTTTCGCACAAATGCGTGTGTGTGTGCGCAGAGGTTTGTGTTCGCCCCTTCACTAGGCGTCTGGATGGCCCCCGTCTGCCCAGCCAGTCATCTGTCACCATTACAGGACAAAGGCAGCAGCGTCTCAGGGCCATTACTGAGATTGCTGGAGATGATTTGGAGTGTCCTCCTCAGCACAGAGAAAATCATTTCCTCACAAAGAGGCTGCCCCTCAGCTCTGCGGGCCCCTGCCAGCCTGCCGGACAAACTACAGAGCCTTTCCACTGCCTCAGTCGCCTCCGGGAGTGATGGACATTCACACACAACGAGAGACGCAACGAGTCAGACATGAAAAAAAAAAAAAGAGACGGTCAGAGAGCAGAGGAAGAGTGGAGACAGAGGTGAAGCCCTGGTGAATCTCTTGATGGGTCATGTGGGAAGAAGACAGTTAAGAAAAATGGCGGGAAAAGTAGGCGCTGCCAGAAAAGTAAGAGTGGGATAAAGTTAAATTAGCCAATCTCCAACTCACTGTCCTGATTTGGTTCATGCTCTGCACCAGGGTCGTTCCCATCTCACCAATCCTATCGCTCATCTTGTTTCTCCTTTTCTCCCCTTTTTCTCTCTTACCCTCACACACTAACACACACTAACACACGCACACACAACGACACACAGACTGCAGGCCAGATATGTAGCTTCATTTACAATCCAGCTGACCTTGGCTGGAATGTGGATGAGTGTTTAAAGATCAGTGTTGTGAAGTGAACACGGTTTGTGTGTGTGTGTGTGTGTGTGTGTACACGACTGGTCAGTGGCTGGAGCTGTTGCAGTCACCCCCTCCCACCTCCACACCCCACCAAACTAAAATCAACACACACTCTCTCTCCCTCTCACACACACACACCTCTGACACACAGAGATCATGATGAATTGTCCTCTCTGCAGGCCCAGATTGTTTTTAAGGTTTAATTCAGTTTCTTCCTGTGCTTGGATGAGCAGCTGTGTGTATGTGTGCGTCTGTGTGTGCGTGTATGTCTGTGTGTATTGATGAGTGTGTTTGCACCTCTGTGTAGGTGTGTCACAGTCTGTGTGTGAGATAGAGAAGCAGAGAGAGAGAGAGAGAGAGAGAGAGAGAGAGAGAGGGAGAGAGAGAGAGAGAGAGAGAGAACAAACAGGCGTTATGGATCTCAGGTCTAATGTACTCCAGCAGGTCCGAATAGTGGGGGATCCAGTCGCCATGGAAATGACAAAACCTGATCAATACTCAAGGTTATGACCTCTAAACTGCAATGCATCCCCCCAAATTCCTGCTTCTGCAACCCATTACTCTCCTCATTCCATCAAATCTATCTATCTATCTATCTATCTATCTATCTATCTATCTATCTATCTATCTATCTATCTATCTATCTATCTATCTATCTATCTATCTATCTATCTTCTGCAGAAAATCAGATCCGTCCATTTCTTTGCTCTTCTTGAAGGTAAACTAAGGCCAAGGAAGCAGGGGCGTGTCCAGACATTTCTGACTGGGGTGGCCCAGCTGTACAAATACAGTATGTCTGTGCACACACTCGCAGCATTTATCAACTTTTCACTCTGTCAACACAAGCCATATTTACTTTGCAGCTTTTCTTATTCACTTTGGCTCATTTTCCAGCTGAGAAAATCTTTTTTTAAAAGAGCTCAATCTCTGAACAATTAGGTTGTCATTGACGATGGCTCAGATTTTCTCATATTCAAGAAAGTTGCTTTGCTTTGGTTTGAGACTGAGTACAATCCTCTGCTTATCTGTATAAAGTAATAACTTATACATGCTTCAAATGAGGACATCATAGCTACACCAGAGAGAAGGAACATTTTATATCAGGGGTTTTATTTAAATTTGAAAATGCAAAAAACCACATATACCAGTAAAATGTCCTTTCACTATCATGTAGTCATTTCAGCTGGTTTATGTCAGAGAACACAACGTCCAGGCTCTAACAGGTGGCATGTTGAGGTGGCATTGAGCTTTGTAAACACTGAGCTGCAGTACTGAAATAACAAAAATAACAAACATGTTCAGCACAAATTATTGCCAAAACTGTTGCCCTGCCCTTAAAGTTGCTATTTTTGAAATTGGAAACTGCATCTTCAATATTTCTGTGTTAAATTTAAAAGAACCTCAAGTTCTATATATTGCCATATGTGGCTCCATGGCATTGTATTTAGGAACTATCTTGATTTAGTCATGATCACTTATCAGGCCACTTTGGGACTGTAATTGATTTCTGACTAAAGACAGTTATCAAGAAAAGACAAGGCTATACACTTTTCCCTACATCTCTTATCATTACAATGATTTTGTATTTTTTTCCCCTCACTTCGGCAATGTGAATATAAGTTTTTCAAGCAAATAAAGCCCTCGAAGCAAAAAAAAAAAGATAACTGAAAAACAGAGGAGGGGAATTTGAAGAGTAACAGGGGAGCCTGTCCCGTCATCCACAGTTACTGTTGCAATAATGATGATTGCCCTTCAGTCAATTACAATGCCATCTAATTACAAAGAGCATGATGATGAAAATTATGATTTAAAATCAGCAGTATTTTTTTATTAGTGTTTCAGGTCACATATTAACTTGATAGTGATGCTGTAATGGTGTAAGGGATCAACATTGTGAGTACTTACAATCCAACAGGTGAATCTTTTTATTCATGACAGGACTTTTCTTTTTGGATCATAAATGGATAAAAAAATCTGTCTTAGTGGATCCATGCATGATATGCAATCATTATGGAGCTAAAAAAGTCCCAAAACAAAACTTTAGAAGAACAACAAGGCAATTTGCAGGTGTGGCATATTTCACTAACAAATCCAGACTTCGAAAGCTTTTTCTTCTTCCTCTATCTCTTTGATTTTTACATATTTTGGACGTCATCCCAGAATCACTGTTTGCCTCTGATAACCATGCCCCAGGGTTAATTAATTCAGATTTGGGTTGAAAATCTGATTGAAGACTTTTAGGACTTATCATGATTATGCAGAAAGCGTGTCATATGTCTCACAATTTCCATCAATGCTTGCACATGTTTGACTGACATTTATCCACATCCTAATTTCAGCTGAAAAGGCAGGTTTTAGGTCAAAACTGCAGGAATCAACATATATTCACACGGTTTAATATTTAATGTCAGCACATTTCTCTGGCGAGAGTTTAATAAAGTTTATCATCTGACCTCTTGGATTGCTTTAACATGCAGATTTGGATGCTTTTAAAGAAAGATGCCCAGTAAGCAGAGCAAAAGAAGACTGATAGAAGAGGAAAGACAAAAGAGAAGAAAAACTGATTAACTGTCAGAGACTTCTTGGCTTTGCAGAGTGTATTCATCAATACAGAGACAGCAGCCCTCTCTGTCTGTGAGGGCAGGAAAAGTGGAAAATGCTGGATATCTTCCAGTCTGCAAACCACAGAGCAAAGCCTCCATTTGAACTTATCAATATCAATCTATCCTGGCCTTCCTGCAGACTGAATAAAAGGTATGGGCTCTCTTCATCAGTGCTGCACAACAAACTGCTACTATCTGGCACTGAAAAGGAGGACAAAGTGAGGAAGAAGAGGAAACAATAACTGATGAGCATTAATCAGATCCTCTGGGACATCTGTAATGATTCAAATGAAATTAATGTAATTAACACTTTTCTTCATCTGAGGGTATAACTCTCATCTAGATTTTGTTTAGTTGAGGGTTTTCTCATGATTATGTGAACTCATGTCTCAAATATTCACACACAACCACATATCTGATTACCTACCTACTTTACTAGCCCACCAACTAAATAACAATCATTTACTTATTCAATTCAACTTTACTTTCTTACCCACTTACTAACCTGGGTCACCTCCTTGCTTACCTTACCGACTCACTAACTTCATTATTTTGTTTTCATACATCCTCACAAACGTACATACTCAAACAGCTCTCCAACTTACTTAGTTCTCTCTACGTCTTCACTTAATTACCACAGTTACACGCATACATATTCACTGTCATGATTTATCAGTAAATACGAAAAATAATGTGCACACTCATTAGTTTTTCCTCAAAGTAATCCGACTACAAGAAACAGAGGACTTAAATGAGAGGAAGTCTATGAGAGCTGCACTCTACAGATTTGTTTAATAATAATAATAATAATAATAATAATAATAATAATAATAATAAAAATCACTCCCTGTACAGTGTGTGCAGACGGATAAATGAATTAATTTAAACTAAAACTGTCTTTGAACCAGACCATAAACATGTTTGTTTTTGCTCTAAATGTGGCTTTTAGGGATGAGTACCCTTTTTTTTAAGCACTTAAACATCTGTTTATTATTATCTGTTATTATTATTGTAATAATTATTATTACAGTAAGGACAGCTGACAGCAAAGGACAGCTGAAAAGAGATAAGAAATATGTGTGGGTGGGTTGAGAGCGGAGGAAGACGTGCAGCAAAGAGTCACAGCTGAAAATTAAACCAGCGACCACTGTGACAAGTCTCAATACACGGGGTTCTTAGACTGTTGGGCCGTTTCATGACACGAGTTTATCGTTACATGATCGCCAAATCTGACACACTTACAGATGTGACAGACAAAAAGATTGTGTAGTCTGACCTTGACTTGATTGTACTTCCTCACTTCCTGTTCTTACATGACATTCTTACTCTACTAACCTTCTTTCTTTTATCTAACTCCTTACTTTACAACACAATTTCTAAACTTCACTTGTTTTTTCTTTTGTCTGGACATTTTCAGTCAAACTTGGATGCACTTGTTGTCTGTTTCCTGAGCTGCCTTAAGAGTTTAGGTAGGGTAAAATACTCTTGCTCATAAGTCCAAATTAAAAGCTGAGCTGCATGTTGGGCTAACTGTTGCAATAAAAGGAGAGCCTGGTTGATGTCAGTATAGAGTGAACTATAGAGGCTTAAATAAATTGAGTTACAAGCATGTGTCATCAATAGATAAAACACATTTAGTTTAACTTGACAGGTAACCCCAAACTTTCTTTTCTGTTTCAAATACACCTCTATGAGAGAACAAACATTTAGTGCGCTCTCATCATAAGCCCACTTAACAAAGATGAACAGAGGGCAGCAGTGGAGAGAAATGAGCAGAAGCTTGTGATGGTGTTTCTCCACTGAGTGACTTTAAACCCGTTAAACCCTCCACAGATTGTGCTGCTGTTTTGACAATGGCCAGTAAACTATCTAAATTGCAGTGTTTTAGCAGCTGTCTCTCTGTGCTGAGCCGGGTAGCGAGGCGTGAGGCTGTCAGCCTCGTCAAACTGCCTTTCTTTCTCTCCTTTCTCTCTCCCTGCACGGCTGCTATCATCATCACCGGCCTTTCACACACCAAACTTTGTCCCTTTATCTCCGATTGTGCTTCTCCCTCACTATCCCGCTGAAATTACCCTTTCATTTTGTTGTGCCATAAAATTACAGCCTGGTGAAGATTGGCAGTGTTTTTCTGCAGAGGGAGGGGGGCAAATCAATGTTTTTGTTGTGCCGATGAGTGTGTGTGTGTGTGCGTGTGTGTGTGTATGGGCGTCTTCAGAATGTCAGAATGTAGTGATGTGTGATCGATGTGCTATTGTTCATGTGTTAGAGAGTGTGTTTGCTGTGTGTGTGGTCGTGTCTTGCAGCTATCACTGAGGATAATAGGACTCTTGGTAATGCCAGGCTACAGGGGCAAAGACCCCTGTTTTACTGGACACTTTTAGATTTTTTCAATCAGTAAGAGGAAAATAGCAAAGTAGTCCTGAAGGTGAGGACCTGCATCGGGCCAAACAGACAAAGTGGATTGCTGCTGCCGCTTTCTGTATGAAAGTAATGATATTCATACTAGGTCTGAGCGGAGCAGACATGGTGATGATTCAGCCGAGGCTCTGCTTCTGCTCATCGTAGCAGAAGACTGGATTAAAACAATCATAACATTACATTTTCTGACAGCTCTGTTTGAGTCACAACTAAGGGTCACAACTAAAGACTTAACATTAGAAATTAAGTATGAATCAATCTGGCTCATCAAAAACAATTGGGTGACAGTCTGCAGGCACTCAATGTAGTCTCTAGTCACTTGATAAATGGTATATGAGCAAGCGCAAGTTTTTTAAATGTGTTTGTCCACTTAGATTGGCGGATTAGGTTGTGACCAACAAACACGGACAAACATATGATGAAATACTATGAGGCAGTTTTTGTAAAGTGGTTAGTTTTGAGTCCTGTGTCTTTACAACAACTCTCATACACTAGCAGCAGGGAGCAAACATTTGAATAGTGTAACTACTTTTTAAGTTTGATTCTGCAAAGACCATAGACTACATATAGAATGGACAGAGTCTGCCTCCTCGCCTGGTGAAGCCACCCCGAGAACAGCACCCTCTGGTGACGGGCTGCAGTATAGGTCATAAATCCCTCCTCCCCCAGCTATCCCTATGGAGCTGTGGACAAACTTTAGAAATTTATCACACAGGATATAATTTTTTCTCCCCCCTGCTTGCGGTGTTGACATGTGGTTACTGTAAGACTGGTTTGTGCTCGAGTCCTCTTTTTTTCTGTACAGCTCCATTTTTAAAAGTTATTAGGGGGTCCATAGTAAATACAGGCTATGATAAAGACTCAGGAGGAGAATGTCATAATGAGCTGATCTATTGCATCCTTTGGTAAAAACAGAGCAGGACTCCTCATGTAGTAAGTTTTTAGCTGAACACATTGAAAATAAAACTGATGCCTCCATATGTCAGACAAAAGCAAACAAGATGACCAGCAGTGAATTCAAAATTTTTTATATGATTACTTGTCACTTGTCACATATGATTAACGGCTGTAAGTCCTGCCATAAGCTAGGAGATGAGCTTCAGCGCAGTGCAGAAATAGCCTTGGTTAACATGTTTCATTATAAAGGTTAACAGATTACCAGTCAAAGACAGCAAGGTGATATTTTCTCACTGAGAAATTTTCATAAGTCAAGGACAAGGTTAGCAGATCGATACAAGGCATCACTTTCTCCACAGGGGGCGCTAAAATCTATATAATCTCAAGTTTCTAACTGGAGCTTTTGAGAAAATGGGCTAGTAAGCACAATTATTTTACACCTCAGAACAAGGTAAACATTGGTGGGCCACAATTTTATCGGGTAAGAATTTTAAGAATAGCACAGTTAACATGAAAACAACATGAAAAATCAGATCAACACTTTTTTTTTAGGATTGAACACTCTGGCTTTTCTGAGTTTTTCACTATAAAGGAGTGTTTGACAGGCAGAGACAGCGTCCGTTTTTATCAGCCTGAAACAGCCTGACTTCATGGATAACTCTTTATCTGGTCAATTAATAACCAGCATCCGTATTAGCCTGTTTGCACAAGGAACGACAGAAGAAGGGCACGCATTTCCGACGCCAACATTTTGTTATCACTCTTCTAAGTTGACATTTTGCTCCATTGATACTCTGCTGCTTCCTTGTTGGCTGGAGAGCTGAAACAAACAGACAGGAGACAGGTTTCCAGCTTTTTATCTGGTTAGGTAAACAATGTGACTCTGGTAGATTTTAGTCATTTGGTTCATACATGTTACCCACTGCATGAATTAACTGTGCATGGGTTTTTCTTAAACTTCTGTAGTCTTTCATGCATGACATAGTTAAATTTCAACCACATTATGCGGACCGAAATTAAAATTGATCAAAAAAATAAGTTTTTTATTTATGACCCAAGACTGGGGCGGCTTTTACTTGGTTGGGAACTGCACAATAGTTGTGTATTGACACAACACATTTAGGGATTATTTGAGCCAACCTATGTCCTGTTTTTCAACAAAAATCTCACTCTGCCATCTTTGAGTAGTACTCTTATATTACTCATTTTTGCTGTGGAAAATGTCAAAAAGGCTGTTTAGGCAGGATGCTGTTTATCACCTCATTCCAACATAATGAGTGTAACAACTGTATGTAGCAACCTGTCCACTGAAACCAAAAACAACCCATGAACAGGACTTTTGATCAGGTCAAACAGTCTGATCTATTGGTGCAGTAAGCAATTACTCGCATCCCTAGATAACTGACCTGTACTTTCCTAT